ACCGATCATTATAGAGATGAAACCTTGTCTCATGCACGTGTGTTCGAATAACATAAGCGGTTTTCAAGGGGGAAGGGACAGTGTCGCCCAGCACGTTCATCATGATTGAATGGATTCACAGTGGTCAGACTGTTAAATAATACTACTTACATAGAAGTACTAAAAAGACTTCGTGAAAAAATCAGGGAAAACAAAGGCTACAGTTGGGGAATGATAGATGGTTGCTGAAACAGGACAATGCACTCTCTCACATGGCCCTATCTGTCAAGCGGTTTCTGACCAGCAAAAACATTACTGTGATGGGGCATCGTCCCTATTCACCTGATTTAGCTCAAAGCGATGTTTTTATTTCCTAGTTAAATCTTACTTAAAGGGAACTCATTGTACCTCAGCTGAAGAGTTTCAAGCAAAACGAAGAATTTCCTGAAGGGCCTTTCAAAACCCTCGTTCCAGAACTGTTACTACCAGCAATGGCCGCATCGAATTTAGAAGTGTGTAAATGCTGCAGAAAAATACTTTGAAGGTGATAATGTCACGGAGAACTGATTCTGAAAGTACAATGATCAATAATTTATTGGACCAGTCTCGGTTTTATTTTTTTTTTTTTTATTTTTTTTTTTTTTGTGTGTGTGTGTGTGTGTGTGTGTGTGTCACACTTTATATATAGGAATAATAATAATATAGGCTGGATTGGCAAAATCGAACCAGTCGCTATAGGGTTTACAAACCTTCAGGAGAGAGAGAGGACACGTAGTCTATGGAAAATCGCATAGCAATGCATGGTCGAAAAGGCTTTCCTGCCGCGGTAGTGACAACACAAAATACAAAAAAGGGAAACCATAAACAGGGGGAGGAAACATGTTTATCATGTTTAGTAAGGCAGAAATCAAGGAATAAGAACAAAAGATAAAAATAGACAACGATTGTCATCAAAGAAGTTGTTCGAAATTACAACCGCGGAACCTGATGCAGGCCTCACATCTCCAGATTTCCCCAACAGATGCCACGATGCGCGCAACAAGTTCCTCAGCTCTTCAAACAGGGGTTTCGTCCACCAGTGTCTTGGCGTACCCGCAGAGGAAGTAGTCAGTACTAGTGAAGACTGGCGATCTTGCTGGCCAAAGTACCGAACCACCCCTGCTGACCCATATTCAGGATATATTTCGAACGTAATTTCGAGCACCTTCTTTGATGGTGATCGTCTATTTTTGTTCTTATTTCTTGGTTTCCACTGCACTAAGCATAATGAACATATGTTCTCAATTCTGCTGATATCTTTCCTATCTTGTTCACTACCCGCGCCAGGAAAGCGCTTTCTACCAGGCATTCCTATGCATTTTTCCATCGTATATATTCCATCAATAAGACGATTTTCACAAAGTTGACGAGAAATAATAGACTTACATAAACATTACGAAACTAAATAAGTAACTACATTTCCAGTCTAGTGTCTAACTCAAAAAATAGATTTTTTAGTAATTTTAAACATTTTTTGGAAAACTAAATATCAGAAAATTTGCCGCAGACAAGTTTTAATGCCTTAGAAAGCGATTTTTTTTCAGAGCCACTAAATGCCTTCTGTAATTAGGCTGATATTTTTCTGTTTATGCTAATGCAATCAATTCTTGATTAAGTTCCCATCCAGTTTCAATCTCTGGACTAAGCACGAGGGAATTTACCGGACTCGGTCTTTAAGAAGAATTAAAACATACCTTTTTTTGAACTGCGATGCTAGTAATTCCCAAATGTTTGACAGATGCTGTCAAACATTTGGGAATTACTTTTATCCACAACATTATGAAATTTAGTTGTAAAAGCAAGAAGCTCTAATTCAATTTTTGTGGGGTATTAAACTTAATGACATTTTCAAACTTTCTGCAAATCTTGTGCTATTAATTTCTTCATTTCTAATTATGTTTATTCTTCTTTTATTTGCAGTGCGTGACTTTTATTTTGGAAGTTTATTTAATTTACCGTACCATAAAATTTAAACTTTTTGAAAATAAAGGTAAATTCTAAACAGTATTTTTCTTTCAATTATAATATAGGTTATACCTCTTCCCTCCCCTTTTTAACCGTCCCCAGATAAATCCCGATTTTGAGTTAACTGTAAACATAATTTCTAATAGTACTTCTGTAAATTAGGGGATGACTGTAAATTTTTAACGCACAATTAACATTTAATACTTCGCTATCTATTCGACTGCAAATCGTTGTTATTAAAATATGCTTTTACATGTGTTACAAATATTTGGAAGAATGTTTCATTAAGCATTAATGAAGGTTCGTGAGAAGCAGAGAAAACATATATAAAATACATTTTATCTTATTACTAGCTACATTTTGCTGTAAATCAGCAATTATCACTGAAGCAAGAATACTCTCGAATGCCGGTAATGTAATACCAAAAATTGTGCAACCGAGGATGAAAACTGGAAATGATCGAGAGCGAAAGAGTCATTTGCGCTCTTTGTTTCAAATGGCCTCTCAAACGGACTATTTTAAAAATAACCGCACACTCTCTGATTGATCCTCCATTTTCTGATTCCCTAATAGCCTTGTCACGTGACGTCTCTGAGTGTGTTTTTCTTCCCGCCTGTTAATTATTCGCAAATGGCGGCATTAATGGTGCCCCGCGAAGCGTTCTTATCGGAGGGGCTTCATTTTGGTCCCCAATTTCTGACTTAATCGACGAAGAGCTGTGCAAATGGCACTCGAATTCGCGTAATTTCTAGGAAGCGATTCCAAAACTCAATAACAATGTTAATCGCCGTGATGAAAAAGTAAAATATGTTTGTAGAAGTGAATGGGGTCTTGTTAAGTGCCTGTTATTTTGTTCGGGAGATGGTTTTGATCCGTTTTGGAACTCAAGTTTAGAAAAATCTCAATTCCCAGAGGATTTAGAGAACAGAAACCCTGCAAAAGAAAGGTACTTAACTACAATTTGTTTTTAAAGCGAAATCTTCTTAGAACTTAGCACTTAGAGGAAAACTCCTCTTCTAAGAGTTCCTGCAAGTATTTTGCAGTCAAGAAGATAAACGTCCCTTATTCACGAGCTAAAATTCTTACTATGTCTTGCATTCTTTATGAAAGAAAATTTGCAGACAATGTACGTGCGTGATATATTTATGATATGTGAAGCATTATTATTGTAAGTAAGAATTAGTACTGTATAAATAATTTTTATTACTTCCTTAATAATGCAGTGTTAACAAGCATTAAAATGAGAATACACATAAAGCATAAAGATCCCATACCTTTATACCATTTGTCACATAAAAATTCATACTAAAAAGGTATGAATTTTTATTATTTATTTATTTAATCTAAGCTAAATTTTATGCTTGAATAATCGCTGAAACATAATAAAAAGCTGATACAATAATTAGAGGCTTACCCTCCTCTTCCCTCTTGAAAGAAAATTAACACACGTGGTTAAAATATCATGTCGTTTTTAGGTTTATTACTATTATTTCTTACTAACCAGTTATTTAATGTCTTGTAAGGATTTTGTTAATTTTATTAACAGATAAATTTTGAGTTAAAATTCTTTCTTGTCAAGTTCTTGACTACTTCCGGCCAGAACGTAGTTTTAGATTCACATTTAATGAGGAAAATCTGTATTTAACCGCGTAGTTCTACTTGCTGAGTTAGAGAGAATCACAGATTCTGATTAGAGCGCGTCCGCCTTTATTGGCTACTCTCTCCCACAGCTGTTATTACGCTCGGCCGTACTCAGGCCCTTGATAGCTACGCGCTCATTTAAAGGAGCCAACTCGGTTAGAATTTTGATAGCTTCGGTTATATATCTTTAGTTTAGATTTGTTTTAGTTTACTTCTTAGCCTCTTAAGTTCAAGCCCAAGTGTCGGCTTTAATTGTACACTCCAAGACGGAGTTCTCTTAAATTTTATTTGAATAATAAAGGGTTATTTACCCTTCCATCTTGTTGTTTCTTATCACACGAACTCAAGCGATTATTTGCTTATCAGTTCTTAAGGGTCTTCACTTTCTACGGTAACTTAGAATAACACTGTGAGGAACAGTCTTTACTGTCTCTTCTCATTTAATATGATCAAAATATTATAAAATATTTTTCCAGCTGAAATGAAACTGATATCTAATTCAAATAAGTGTATAAATTGATGTTGATGCATAAATTTTAGAATGGGATAATGAAGTGAAATATATTTTCCTTGTGATAGTCTAACAATTTAGACGTCTTGTGAAAGTACATTATAACTGTGCTTCTTCCACAAAATATAATGCTCGTAATTAAATGTAAGATCAAGCGTTTACTATACTTATGAAAAGATATTATCGCCATGATATTAATAAATTTCATCAAAATATGGAAACATGTACATAAAATACAAATGAATCAGTGAAGAAAACTAGTTTCTCCGCCCCTTAACTGCTGTATATATCCACTGGAACTACATCTCAGGAAAAAACAGTAAAGAATTTTCAAATAACCTTTATACATAATATATTACATTATAATATCTTACAAAATATATTTTAATAAATTTAAGAAATATTACAAGTAATTTGTACTAGTTTATAGTCAGTGTATTACTTATTTAGCATACAGTATAATATTTTCAGTTGTATATTTAGCATGTATTGTATTTATATTTCAAGGTACTAATGAATGTAATTCTTAAATGGCATATTTCTTCTGACATTGGATCTGTGGGCGAATTTGAAGGTTAGATGCAGAACAACCCATTTCCAACTAACTTCCAAAACTATGTAGTATATTGTCAGTAGTATTATCATACAATAAATACGCAGTATATTATCGCAGAAAATATATTTTTATCTCTTATTACATCTTTTTCTTGTCCATTGCTATTCTTGTTCTAAATATGGTCTCAGCTATGTAAATAATTTATCTATGCTAATTTTGTATAAAATTTTTCTATCAATTTTCAAACAAATAAATAAATGTTTTTTTTTTTTTTTTTTTTTTTTTTTTTTTTGGTTTGTGTGATGGAAGTTGAATTTGACCTTAGGATGGAAGTCAGAACAGAGGATATCAGTAAGTAGCGAGTGGCCACAGGACTAAGATGACAATAGAAGAATTTTAGAGCTTCAAACAACGATAACAGATGTCCAAGAATAAATACTTTCAGGGCAAGAAATGGAAAACCTGGGTGTCGAATTCAAAAACCATCTCAACATGTGATCAAACCTGAGGCAGCCATTGAGCAGTGACACCTTAATAAAATTTTTGCGAACAGGTCTGCTAACTTGTTGAATGACAACATCAATGGAACTGTTAGAAAAGTTTAGAAAGCCACCCACATTCGACAATTTTTCGAACGTCAATTCTCAAAAAACTTTACCCCCAGCTCACTGCAAGTACCTCAGTGAAACGCATGAAACGACAAAAAATGCCAACCCCAAAACCACCAAAAATGCAGACACTTAATAATTTTATAGATTGGGATTTTCTTTCCAAGCAATAATTTCTCTCTTACTTCAGGTACCACATGCACTGCCATTATCCCTTTTTGAAAATATACATAAGTTTTTATACTTTTAATTTTATTAAGTTTCATTTTTATTCAATTTTTTTATTTGTTAATATTTTACTTTAAATCCAGTGCATTTACTATTAAAAGTATATTGGAAATTCAAGTTTAAGGGATCCAGGAAAGGACTAATTATTTTCAACGATTTTAAAGAGGAAAAATTGTTTCGGAATTTGCAAGGAATTCTGGAATGGATTAAGGTCGGGTTCCAAAGTACCTTTTACCATACGGTATAGTTTAAAATTTGAATGTGGTATTAAAGCAAATAGGTTCTAAGTTTTTATGGAAAAAGGTCCGTGTTAAAGTGATATTTGAAAATGAAAATGAATGAGTATTTTAAAAATTTAATAATTTAAAATTTGTTGAACATTTTTAACTAAAAATTCATCTTTTGTTTAATGCCTTGAAATGAATAATATTAGCTTTGTAATTAATTTATGAAATAACGTTGATCTCAGTCTTTAATCTTTCTTTCGTAAGCGTAATAATCGTGATAGTTTGTATTTGCGGATTTGGGAGAATTTTTTTATTGTATCTTTAATTTTAAATTTTAAAATTAAGCACAGGCGCTGCTAATAAACGAAAATTTATAACAGCAAAAATGAATGAGGTGAAGGAAAATAATCAGTTTTACATTTTTCAACCGGAAAAGAAAAAAACGGAGCGAAAATACGAATTTTAATCTGAAACTTAAACCTCAGTGCAGATTTTCTGGTCCATAATTTGTTCATAGTGTCATATGGTACTCACTAAATTATACTTCGCTGGTGCGCACAGCTGACGAATTCCAGAATTTCAGACTTCTGGTAAATGGAATACTAGATTTATATTTTCAGATTCTAGAAATTTTTTGGCAAGATTAACGTATGGAGTTAGGATGACATCTTTTGAAGTCAGACATGTGGTTACCTTTTCATATTTCCTTCCTTAGTTAGCCTTAATGTTTAGTCTAACTAAGGTCAGTTTCAGTTTAATTTTCTTAAATTTCTTTGTGTTATCATTGGTCGTTACACAGTTTCCTCTTTACTTTTTAAAATAGCGGACTATCATTTTTTCAGTTCAGAGTGTTCCTTTCGGAAATCTTTAGCCCAAAAGGGCATTAGCCTCAACATTCTGTTAGTATCGAAACAGGATTTTGAATTATCCACTACAAACGGCTGTATCACTTTCAAAATATTTTCCAATAAATATCGTCGGCCTATATTATTTTGAATGCAATTAAATTGTGAAGAATATGCATGTATGTTTGTATGTATGTGTGTTTCTCGCTTTGTGAAAAAGCAACATTACCTAAAGCCATCAAATTTTGAATAACATAGACCTGCTCTCGAACAGGGGCACCTGAAAGCCCAAATTTTGAATTTGCATTATTATCTGTTTCATATTTTGTAAAACTTTAACAAATTTCTAATTAGCAAACTCAATGATTTCAAAGCGAGCAATGGCAACAGTATGCGGAATTACAATGTCATCTCCAGCGCGCAAGACTAGCTATCGGAAATTGTAAAGGTATGATGTTTTTAATATTGTTACATGCGTACGAGTTCGTAATAGATTGAATGCACAAGTCCGATAAAAGGTTAATAAAATTTATTCCTATCAAAATATAACAGATAGCTGGAATTTTCCTCGGAGATATTCTTACAAGTGCTCATAATATCACGCAATATCAGTAGTTATATATCAAGCTACTAAAAATGTTAAAATACAACCCAATGCAAAGATAAAGCTAATCCAATCTCACCCTGAACTCGCAACAATAAAAAGAGCATTTATCTAAACAACTGAGCTGAGATGTTCTCACTCTGGCTTTTTATAGCTTTCAATCGGTCGTGAGAAATTTCTAGTAATTTATGCTTATCGAGATTTCTCAAAAGCGATGAGAGGTTGTAATTACAGTTACAGCTAACACGGTAGTCAATTACATTTATTCAATTTCAATGCAAATTACGAAAATATCCATTTATTCAATGTTAAATGCACGTGCTTATGTATTTTTACTTAGCTTTCTCTTAAAATTTGTCTCGGACTGCATTTCACGGGAAAATACAACAATTTTAATTACAATTCTACTAAAATTCTGTTTCTAAATACAAAATTCGTAACAATATTTTGCGATTTTTTTGATTTTATGTAGTTAAATTGTGAAAAACGTTATATTTAATAAATAACGTTAACACACAAAATGATAATAATAAAAGGACAAGAAAAATGTTTTGCAAACATTCTTACCAAAAAAAGTAAACATTGATATGATACACTGAGAAAAGACTGAAAAGTATATATGCTAATACTTAAAACTACATTGTAAATTCTAAACATATGCTGGTATTTTATACTTTTTTTTTTTGTAATTTTTCTGTTAAATTGCGTATAGAAGAGGTGCGAAGAAAATTATTCTTAATAACAAAGCTGAAAAGACAAAAAGAAATGGGTGAGCGAGAATGAGCAGAATGGTTGTTGAGCTCAGCGAGAGCGTAAGAAATCTTAACAAACCCTTTTAGGCAATCCTTTAAGTCTGAATCCTTGTAGATTTTTATTATTTTTAAGTACACATTTTTGTTTCCATTTTATTGCAGTAGGTTTTTCATCCCTATTTTATCCTAAAATACTAAGAAAGTTTTGTAACTCTGTGCATAAGTCTTGTTGAAGAACATAGTGTTATTCATATTTTATATTATTCACTAATTTGAAACTTCTGCGCGCAAAATTGCACTTCGCAAGGAAGAGCGGATACGCTAAGCTGCCTTTTTGCAGTAAATGTAACACCACACTTAGGAATTTACTATAATTTATTAAAAAAACTTGAAAGTTTTCAGATTTTATATTACACCTAAAGGGACTTTCTTTAGCGTTATGTGTGTCACTTTTATTTATTAAATATCATGTTTTTCCCACTTAAACCACATAAAATTCAATTTAACAGCAGTATCACAAGATATTTAAAAACAGCATATCTTTAGAATTTCTGATAGATAGTCTCGCGCGCTGGAGATGAAAATGTTTTTCCCGTATAATTTTTCCCCTGCTCGCTTTGAAATCGTTGAGTTTGTTAATAAAAAATTCTTTAATTTCTGACAAAATATGAAACTGATCGTAAAACAAATTCCAAATTAGGGCTTCCAGGTGCGCATTTTCGTGTGAGGGATTACTTAATTCAAAATTCGACCTCGCTCTTTATCAATGCGGAAAACATACATACATTCATGCAGATTCCTCATTATTTAATTTATTTAAACATAATACAGGGCGATAATATTTGGTGGCAACATTTTGAAAAGTGATTCTGACTTTTAGAGTGATTTATCGCAAAATGTCGTTTCAAGACTAATAGCCCTTCTGATCGAACCTTCTTTGGGCTAATAAATAAGCTGTTGTTAAATAAAATACCATTTTATAGATAACTTTAAATCCTAAAATAATAAAGGTAATTAAAAAATAAGTAAGTCATAAAGATAGCTCACATTCTTTAACAACTACATAAATGAATAGAGTTTAGTTTTAATAACATCTGTTTCATATTTATGAACTAGGAAATGATAGTTTATATAGGTCCTCTTAAGATGATACTAAATCAGCCAATAAGTTGACCCGAATGCTCTTCCGAAGTGTTCTTAATATCACAACTGTCTGGTTCCTGTCTTGTTAAGTTAGTATTTGTTGAGACAAGTTGACAGCTATCTTGACATGCTTGCTATTAGAAAAAGTTCCTAGAAGGCAATTTTTATCGACTGCACAACTTTTATTTTATATAAGATTACTGATGTGGGTGCATCTTGTACGTAAGCTCTTGGATTTCATACACAGCTTTTGACTTAGGTTTGTAAAATGACCATTATTTCTAGTCATTATTGTTAAATGGAAAACGTAGCTGATTATTAAATAAAGTTTCTATATTAAGCTGAAAATAAACATCTGCGGAATCTAGCACTAAAATCCTTTTAAAAAAAGTTCATTAGGTTAAAGGTCATAGATTTTCTAGAAGCAAGAATGTAAACACTGATAATGTTTAATAAGTATCCATCTCCTGAATAATTTTTGTTGTACTAGATTCATTATATGTATAATTAAAAAAATATATAATCTTTATGCTGAATTCGTACATGATAACAGAAAAGAACTATAAATTACCACACTTCGAATATAAATTAACTGAAAGAGTTTTCATAAAGTTTTGAAATAATATAAAATCGTTGGTAAAAATAATGAAATAAACTTTAAAATTAATTTTATTACTGAGTCTAAATGTTCTATACCTAGCGTTACCAGAAATACTGGATTAGTATGGATAGTTCTGGACTCCTAATTATATCAGGAGCTGTGTCCTGACAAGTCAGGAAATTTAAAATGAGTAGATATAAAAGCTAGAGAAGGAAAAACTATCCATTTAGAGAAAAAAGCATGGAATTTCAGTTACACTTTTACTCGTATGCAGGCATTTCAGGATGCAATCAAGTAATTTTTGAGACGTTGATGCGTAACTTGATTAATATAATATCTAATCATGCCCATCTACATAATAATATATTCATTAATATAATATCTAATCATGTTCATCTACATAAGAAACGTGTGCCCACCAGCGGACGAGAGGTAAAGTCGCTGAACAGTAGAAGTTCGGTCCAAAGTTCGAATTCTGCGAACGGGCTGGCTGCATGGGTGTTTTCGTGGATTTCCCCGTGTGTAACATGTATACAAGTTAATTTCCCTTAGAAGGTCCTCCACGAAGTCATTCATCCCCTTAGTCAGATAGCCCTCGAGGCTTTACCGTAATTAAATAACCTAACCTAAAATAAGAGATTTGCTGAATTCAGCAAATCTCTTAAGGACAGACTACTTTTCAGCTTTGTTAGTATTATTACTATTTTTTTTTTCGTATACTTTTCTTTCTTCAGTTTTTCATTTGGGTC